GGCAACTCAGAGTATTGTAAAATTCATTTGAGACAAGCCCTAAACTCTTCTCCTTCCACTTGAGTGTGTACACCACCTAGAAAAGCATTTGTTTGTGAATCGTCTCATAATAAGTCTCCAGATTACAAAAGGCCTCAGTCCTCATATACTTCCCTTCTCTTGGCAACTGCCAATCAATGCCTCAGTAATTCTCAATATATTAAAGAATATACTGTTATGATAATGGGGCCTTAGCAAATCTCTATCGGCAAATCATCTGTGATAATACTCTGGTCTTCAGAAGACAGATTAAATGGGCCATTGGTCTAATTCTGCCTGGAATTAGTTTGGTAGCAGGGATGGCAGACATAAAGTATTGGACTGTCCAATATAAGCTGTAAGGCTTCACTCACCATGAAGTGATCATTCAAAATTTAAAGCTAACCAAGTCTTTAGAGATTCTAGCATGAGATATCGGTCAAGCTCTCAAAAAACTGGATGTATCACTCGACTCACTGGCCAACCTAGTTTTAGTCATTTAGCCCTGGACTATTTGTTTTCTGAACAGGGTGGAATCTGTGCAGTGACTAAGGTCTCTTACGTGTCTGGATAAACACATAGGGAATTTGAGATGAATGTTAAAGAAATCTATAAACAGCCTAGGTGGCTTCATGAATTTGACAACAAAAAATGTAGGTTATACTATTTAAAGAGACCATCTCCAGTTTTACTTGGCTTTACACCTTATAGGACCCCTGGTTGTTACTCTGTTGTTATTACTCTTTGACCCCTGCCTTTTTAACATTTTGGTGATTCTTTTTTCTAAACTCCAACAATTCCACAAGAGTCTGATATTGGCCCAGGGCTTTCAACCCATCCCTCTGTCAGAAGAATCAAGTCCCACACAGGTCATTAGAACAGACAGTAAGATATTTTATGTCTTTAGAATTTAGGGCTCAACTACTGTCCCTCCTCAGTAGGAAGCAGCTACAGAAGGCTAGACCTCCAGCCTACACTTCTTCTTTTTTTTTGTTTAACAATTTTTTTTAAACTTTTATTTAATGAATATAAATTTCCAAAGTACAGCTTATGGATTACAATGGCTTTTTCTCCTCCATAACTTCCCTCCCACCCGCAACCGTCCCCTTTCCCACTCCCTCTCCCTTTCCATTCACATCAAGATTCATTTTCAATTCTCTTCATATACAGAAGATCAATTTAGTATGTATTAAGTAAAGATTTCAACAGTTTGCACCTACACAGAAACACAAAGTGAAATAAACTGTTTGAGTAATAGTTATAGCATTAAATCACAATGTACAGCACATTAAGGACAGTGATCCTTCATGAGGAGTAAGTGCACAGTAACTCCTGTTGTTGACTTAACAAATTGACACTCTTGTTTATGGCATAATCACCCTAGGCTCTTATCATGAGTTGCCAAGGCTATGGAAGCCTTTTGAGTTCACCGACTCTGATCATATTTAGATAAGGTCATAGTCAAAGTGGAAGCTCTCTCCTCCCTTCAGAGAAAGGTACCTCCTTCTTTGATGACCTGTTCTTTCCACTGGGATCTCACTTGCAGAGATCTTTCATTTAGGTCATTTTTTTTTTTCCAGAGTGTCTTGGCTTTCCAAGCCTGAAATACTCTCATGGGCTTTTCAGCCGGATCCACATGCCTTAAGGGCTGATTCTGAGGCCAGAGTGCTGTTTAGGACATCTGCCATTCTATGAGTCTGCTGTGTATCCTGCTTCCCACGTTTGATCGTTCTCTCCCTTTTTTTTTTTTTTATTTTATCAGTTAGTATTTTCAGACACTAATCTTGTGTGTGTGTGTGTGTGTGTGTGTGTTTTGACAGGCAGAGTGGACAGTGAGAGAGAGAGACAGAGAGAATGGTCTTCCTTTGCCATTGGTTCACCCTCCAATGGCCACCACGGCTGGCATGCTGTGGCCGGTGCACTGCACTGATCCAGCGTCAGGAGCCAGGTGCTTCTCCTGGTCTCCCATGGGGTGCAGGGCCCAAGCATTTGGGCCATCCTACACTGCATTCCCTGGCCACAGCAGAGAGCTGGCCTGGAAGAGGGGCAACTGGGACAGAATCCAGCGCCCCGACAGGGACTAGAACCTAGTGTGCCAGCACCGCAGGCGGAGGATTAGCCTATTGAGCCGTGGTGCCGGCTGACACTAGTCTTGTTTATGTGATCCCTTTGACTCTTAGTCCTATCATTATGATCAATTGTGAACAGAAATTGATCACTTTTACTAGTGTGATGGCATTGGTACATGCCACCTTGATGGGATTGAATTGGAATCCCCTCAGCCTATACTTCTTAAGAATAAGAAGGATAAAATATCTTAGGGAGAAATGAAAAAGATTAAAATCAACCTCAACCAAGCTCCTTCAGATCTGGTATGTATCCATCTCCTATCCTCACACAGCCCCAAACCAATCAGGGTCAAAGAGTGTTCATACCCTAACCACAAAAGACTCCCTACTGTATGATTAGGGATTTCCCCAACCCATACACATGCCCAGAATAGCCCAATAAGACAGATATATGACCTTCCTAGAGAGGCACTAATTATCTACACCACCATTTTCAGTACTTTGTGTGCAAATGAAGGAACTGTGCCTATGCAGAATACTGAGTTGGATGCAAACTGAATTGCCATGTGACAAGGGAGAACCACCACACCTTTCCAGCCAATAAAAACCCAGCCAAACTCCCTTCATTGAGTCAGTTGGTAGAACCTCTTCCTGCCATGCTCTCTCCCTTGTATTTTAGCATAAGCCCCCAATAAACTTGTTCTGGGTTACATGTTGGCTTCTTGCCACCTTCCATTGCAAGGGAGATAAAGAATAGATGGCTGATATCACCGGGAAAGGATTTGAGAAATAACCACTCAACTTGACCAAATAAGTTAAATAAAGGCAAGCTAAAGTCTTTTCTATTCTCTAGCTTCCAAACCACACAGAGGGACCCAGGAAAAAAGAGTCAATTAAACTTAAAGGATCCTGAGGTCTAAGCCCACTTATTCCAAATGCTTCTTAGGGTGAGTATTTTCTGTAACAAAGCAAAATGGATTTATAAGTATCTCATTAAAACTGCAGGGGAGAAAGAATATGGAGTTTCCAGGGAGGGAGGGATGGTAAATGGAATTCATAGTATGGAACACATTAGTACCCATTATTATTAATTTAAGATACATAGAGTATTATAGATATCTTATTTAGTACATAGTCTTTGTTGTTGGATTGAGCAAAGTTAATTAGAGCTTTCTTAGCTTCTCTTATAACCTAGACCTCCCAAAGCTATTTTCCTTTATGTTGGAATTTTTACAAAGGAAAATTCTATTAGGAAGGGCTTTTAGAAACAGGAAGGTCCTCTAAAACAAATTCTGGGTTGGTGCTTCCCCAATGTGGAGTAGGCAACTCCAGTGTGTACACATGGGGACAGCACCTTAATAGAAAGACATCAGTAGGTGGGTACATTGTGGAGGTGGTGGTGAGTAGACCAGATAAAAAGTGAGTATGGGGGTTGGTACTGTGGCGTAACAGGTAAAGCTGCTGCCTGCAGTGCTAGCATCCCACATGGGTGCTAATTTGAGTCTGGCTCTCCACTTCTGATCCAGCTCTCTGGATTCTACTACTCTGGGAAAGCAGTAGAAGATGGCCCAAATCCTTGGGCCTCTGCACCTGCATGGGGGACCTGGAAAAAGCTCCTGGATCTTGGCTTTGGATAGGTGCAGCTCCAGCCATTGCAGCCATCTGGGAAGTGAACCCGATGATGGAAGACCTCTCTCGCTCTGTCTCTCTTTCTCTCTCTCTCTCTCTCTAACTTTGTCTTTCTGTAACTCTGCCTTTCAAATAAATAAATCAATCTTTTAAAAAAATGAGTATGTGCTTTGTGGAATGTCATCAATAAAGATTCTCAGTCTACCTCCTCTTGGCTGTTGTGATCGCCTGACTTGGTGCCATGCAGAGCCATCACTGGGTGAAGGAATGGCCTTTCAAGTGGAAGTATGCTTGAGAACAGGACAGATTGCTCACATCCTCCTGATGGCTGTCTCTCAATGCATCAGAATCCAATGTGTTTATCTGTGACAGGAGTACAAAAGGAAATTGGAAGAGTCGAAAACATGAGATGCTAACAAAAGAGTGGACTTGAGTGGGAGTAATGTGATGGTCCTGGGTGCTTGGTGGAAGCTGGCTAAAGCTTGGGAAGGAGATAAGGCAAAAAGAAGGCTGAATATGAATGGGCTGAATGCAGCATCTCTAGGTCTGGTGAGTTCGCCAAATTGTTTTCCTGTGACTGGGTGAAGCCAAACCTTCTAACACATATATAGCACCTCCCTCAGAGTCATGAATAAAGCCACAGATTAACCTGAGGGAGACCATAGTACAAGAATTTCTAGTTTCCAAATCTAGTCCTAAAATATCAGAACTGGGGCTGATGCCGTGGCTCATTTGGTTAATCCTCTGCCTGTGGCGCTGGCATCCCATGTGGGCGCTGGGTTCTAGTCCTGGTTGCTCCTCTTCCACTCCAGCTCTCTGCTGTGGCCTGGAAAGGCAGTGGAGGATGGCCCAAGTGCTTGGGCTCCTTCTCCCACATGGGAGACTGGGAGGAAGCACCTGGCTCCTGGCTTTGGATCGGCGCAGCACTGGCCGTAGTAGCCATTTCGGGGGTGAACCAACAGAAGGAAGACCTTTCTCTCTCTCTTTCTCTCTCTCTCTCTCTCACTGTCTATAACTCTTCCTGTCAAATAAAAAAAATTATCAGAACTGTCTTGATTCTGTGAAATTTTTTCTGAGTAACTCTGTGTACTGGGCTCTGTTAATAGGAGGCTGCTGGTTGTAGTCCTGCCTCCCATGTGCTCTCAGTCCAGTTCCTCACTTCCCTCTTTGCACAGGTGAAACACCCAACATGAGGTCACACAGCTTGCTCAAGGCAGAGGAGATACACTAGGTATTTGTGTGGCATCACAATTGTCCACAGAGTGGCCATGTTGGGAGGTCTCTGAAGGGCAAGCAGAGAGGAGATGGTATACCAAGAAGGCAGAGCTGTTACCTTCTACTAGAGCACCTGGAAACCAAGTCCAATGAGGTGAAATGTGTGATGATGTAGATGGAGTTCAGACCATGCCCTGGTCACTTTGGAGCTGCCATGAGGGCCTCCTGTGGCCCTGTCCAGAGACACTCATTGGCAGGGAGCTTTGGAGAAGGGAGTCCTGGAGGGATGAATGGTAAGTGCGATTCTCCTGTTGCCCTTTTCATTGCTGGAGGAAGTTTAGATTTGACAATAACTCTTATGGAATCCACTCAGCGGACATGTTGCACTGGCAAACTGAGGGATCTCCCCAAATCAGCTTGCATTCAGAACTTACTGCCACACCTATTCCTCCCATTTTGGAATTCCCCTACTATCTAGAGAGTACCTCATTATTATTGTCCTACTTTACTGTCATTTTAACATTAACATGTTCACTACACCAACTTTACTGTAATTACGAAGGTCATGAGGAAGGGTCACCTAGATTTCTGTGGAGATGTAACTGTACCCTACCCTTTCCATCATAGTTCAACTAATGTGTGGGGCCCTGGGACTCAGAGAGTGTCATATGGTTAGTGAACATGCTCTTGGGCAAGTTAAAAGTCTTCTGGGTTCTAACTTCCTGTTCTGCAAAAAGAGGAGTCTGAACTGGGTACATTTTTAGCTTTCTTCCAGTGCCTAACTTAATTCACTTAGATGGGAATGGGCTGGGTATATAAGAAATCAAGAGCATCATTAGTTGATCATTTAATGCAAAATGTCAGGAAGAAATGAAAATTTGTAGGCAGGGGTTGGAGTGATTTGAGGTTGTGGGGTCCCCATAGCCCAGAGGGAAGGGCTTCATTTCCCAAGTGTCACTCAAGTATAGAATTCTCTGCCTAGAGGCTGCCAGGTTGCTCTAGGTTTTGCTATGATGCCAATTTCCCTTTCCTAATGTTCTGAGAAGAACATTTTCATGGAAGACAAATCACTAGTTCTTGACCCGTGACAGCAAATGGAGACTAATGATGGGAGCTGGGACTTACGAAATGCCTTTACATTAATGCCTGTTGTGGAGAACCATTTCCAGAAAGCTCCTTTGTGCTGCCTGGCATTTGTTGGCTCAACTCTAAGGGCTGCAGGATGGTAGGGGAAAGGCATCAGTGCCTCCCCTGGGCAGGCATTTATTCTACATATGTCTCCCCTCAGGGATGAAGACAAAATCTGCAGCCAGGCTCTTTCTGGCTTCCTCCCATCCAAAGCAAAACCTCACCACATTAACATTTCTCCTGAAACCCTTCTCTTAGGTGAGTCCACGCTTGTCTGCAGATACCCTGCTGCCTTTCTCAGCAACTTTTAGTTCTGATTCTTGACGCTCAGTTCCCCATTGGGCAGAATCTGAACCCAGGTTACCTTATCTCTTTTTATCCCCTAGTGTTAGCTGCCCTCATGATCTCCATTTTATAGATGAGAAAATAGAGGGATAACGAGGTAAAGTGACCTGTCCCAGGTCATACAGATTATAAGGGGCAAAGCCAGAATGGGAACACAACTATTCAAGCTCCTGAGCCATTTTTAAAGGCTTATTTTTATTTACTTGGAAGGCAGAGTTACAGAGAAAGAGTGAGAGACACAGAGAGAAAGAGATCTTCCATCTGCTTATTCACTCCCCACATGGCCACAAGAGCTGGGGCTGTGTGCTGGGCTGAAACCAGGAGCCAAAGTTCCACCCAAGTCTCTCATGGGCTTGATTCATCTTCCAATACTTTTCCAGGCACACTAATAGGGAGCTGGATCAGAAGTGGAGCAACTGGGACTTGAATCAGCACTCCGATACAGGATGTCAAGGTGACAGGTGGCAGTTTAATCTGCTAGGTCACAACACTGGCCCTTTTTGAGCTTTTGATCACATGTCTCTCCTACATTTTCCACCTACTCAACCTTCATGACTCTCAGTCACAACGTCCTGGTTCCCATGCAAGGCTACACGCAGTAGCCCTCTCCTTCAAACAATGCTTCTTGGATTCTAGGACTCTCATTGGAATCAAGTATTGGGAAGATGAGGCAAAACTGAAGCAAAGCAAGCCTGTCCACTTTCACAAAACCTCCTTTGCTATTGAACTGATTTTTCATGAGGAGATGGGATTGGTTTGGATGCTTCCTTTACTTTTCTCCCTCTGCACATCAAGCAATTGACCTTATGAAACCCACAGACTTCTCCTCTCCAAATCCATCACCAGAAACATGGCTCATGCCAGGGATGCTGCACACCAGGGATGAGGCTGTAGGGCTGTAGGGGACAATTATCCTACAAATTAGTTGAAAAGGGGTTATATGTCTATTTATTATACTCCATTGATCCAGGCTTAAATAAGATTCTCTCTTATCTGGTAGACAAATCTAAGACTGAGATTAAATATTAAAAATACCCCTCCTATATTGCAAAGTACTATGCAAGATGCACTTTTCTACAACTTATTAATATTCAACTTTCACCCAAAGTGGAATTCATTTTTAAAAATTCGTAGTCATGCATACTCTTTAATTGGGGGGAATGCCTGGCAGCCTTGAGTTCTGCTGCTCCCTGCACCTCTCAGGGCCCATAGGCACATTCTCCATGAAGGCACTGTCCCTCCAGGCATGTCTTAGCTGGAATAATAAGGCATTTTTCACGTTCTCCCAACCCTACCGCCCACCTCCCATTTACTCCAAAGGCTGTCTCTGCCGCCGCTTTGAAAATCAGCAACGGCCCTGCAGCCGGGAAGAGAGTGTATCATTTGGCTTTTTGCCCAGAAAATAAGACGCTTCAAAAAGGTCATCAAAAAAAAAAAAAAAGTCTCTTGGGAGAGAAAAGGAAAAAAAAAATCCTCTCTCTCAAGGTTAATTGAGTGGAAGGTGAACTTTCATCACATGCTGTCCCTTTGAGAAGGCTGCATCCCCTTCGGTACATGGAGAGTGCAATTCACAGGGGATGTGGGCAGGGCTGCGACTTGAACACACTGCTCTCTGGAGCTGGCCCCAAGCCCTGAGCTCCTAGAGAAGCATCTCCACCATGGAGGGGGCACACAGGAGGGTGTAGGTCTGCAGCCACTGGACAGAGGAGCGCAGGCTTCTATGGATACAGAGGTGTGAGGCTGGATACCTGCCTCCGGGAAGCTTTTGTGGCTGTTGTGGATGGAAGGAGACATAGAGCCCACAGGAAGTGATTCAGAGCACAGTGTGGGTTGCTGACCTCAGAGCCACGGATGCTCAGCTCCAGCTGTTACTGACAGCCATGGATGGCACTGCTCTGAGCTACAAGGACCCTGACTTAGGTGGTGGCTTTGCAGCTCCCCTTCCTCTGCCTACCCCTGGGGTTTTGAACTGGGCAAAATTTCATCCTCCATGGGACATTTGGCAGTGTCTGGGGACACTTCATTGTCACACTTGGGAGGGGGCATGCTACCAGTCTCAAGTAAATGGAGGCCAATGAGCTGTCAAACATCCTACAATGCACACGTCAGATACCCACAACAAACTTTGATCCTGCCCAACATTCCGTTAGTGCCCAAGTGATGACACCCTAGCCTGGGACCAGCTCTTTTCCCATCCATGTGGCCACTTCGTTCCTTTCCTTTATTTAGGTGTCTTCTAGGTAAGGAATATGTGGTATATATACACAAGGGAGTATTATTCAGCTAGGACAAAGAATGAAATTGTGATACATGCAGTGAAGTGGGTGGAACTGGAGGTCATTATGTTAAACAAGTCAGATACAAAAAGACAAATACAGCATGTTCTGCCTCATGTGGAAATTAAAAAATAGTCATTCTGAACATAGAATACAGATTACTAGAGGCTGAGAGGGTCAGGATTAGGGGGGTAGAAAGAGATGGATATGGGGCACCAAGACACAGAGGGAAGTAATAGGTGTAGTGTTTTGCAGCACAGTGGGGTGACGGTGGTTTACAAGATAGTATTGGATAAAGAACTGGAGGAAGGGAAGACATTTGGTGCAGTGGTTAAGATGTTGCTTGGGAAACCCGCCTCTCATATAACAGTGCCTGGGTTTGAGTCCCAGCTCTGTTTCTGATTCCAGCTTCCTGCTAATGTGTACCCTTAGAGATAGTGGTGATGGTTCAAGAACTTAGGTCCCTGCCACCCACATAGGATACTAGGATGGAGGTCCTGGTTCCTGGCTTTGATCTAGCCTAACCCTGGCTGTCATAGGCATTTGGGCAGTAAAACCAGAAGATAGAATATCTCTGTCTGTCTGTGTCTCTTTCGAATAAATAGAAACAACAACAATTTTTTTATATGACCCGAAGAGACAAGCTGGTAGGCTCCAAACAGGCAGGAAGGGTGGAGATGCTGATTGCCTGATTGGATCCATTTGTGCTGTATACATATATTAAAATATCACACTGCCCCACAGTGTTGTGTAAGAATCTCATGGTAATCAAAAAGTTTGAACAAGAAAATAAAGAAAAAATATATATTATGAAATCTATGCATGGTTTTCAAAAATTTTTGCACCTCAATAAACTTATCTTTTGATTCTATCTTAAACAAGTTTGTTGAAAGCCCCATATTTACCATACCTCCTCTTGCTCTCTGAGGTGTCAGGTTGTGACATAAGTATGTGGTCACCCTGGGTCAAGCTGCTGTGTGAGCAGTTGCTGCAGGGTGCCTTTCCTGACCACCACAAAGGAGAAAGACACTGCCCTCCATTTGAGCCCTGATCATTGACAATCTCAGATGCTACTAGAAGAATTCTCAGACCTAAGAGATCTCCAGAGCTCTTACTCAATGCCCTTTGGCTATTTTTCACATATTTGACCTTGCCATGGTCTTTTCCTTAGTCCCTCATGGCCTTGACTTACAACCCACTGCCAACTCCACAATATGACTGTCACAGGAGCAACCATCACAAAGAAGCGCAATGTTTTTCTAGTCCATGACACTGAAGAAAGAAATGAAAATGACTCTGTTTTTAAATTTAAAAATGCCCATGAACTTAAATGTTTATGTGTAGCTCCTAATAGAACTACAAGCCTTAGAAGTTCTATGCTGTTTAACATTTCATCTTCAGTGCAGAATCATTGAATCACTGTTCAGAATCAGTATAGTTACTAAAATTCTTAATTATAATCACTGAGATTGGTAGTGTAATTACTGATATCATACTCCTAGTGTTGTATATTTTATTTTATACAATACTTAGACTATATAAAA